CGCCTACGACGGCAGGGATTACATCGCCCTGAACGAGGACCTGCGCTCCTGGACGGCCGCCGACATGGCGGCTCAGAACACCCAGCGGAAGTGGGAGGCGGCGGGTGAGGCAGAGCAGCTGAGCGCCTACCTGGAGGGCGAGTGCCTGGAGTGGCTCCGCAGATACCTGGAGAACGGGAAGGAGATGCTGCAGCGCGCGGGTACCAGGGGCCACGGGGGGCCTTCGTGATCACCTGTAGATCTCCCAGGCTGGCAGGAGGGGAGACAAATGGGACCAACACTATAATATCGCCCTCCCTCTGTTCCTGAGGGAGAGGAATCCTCCTGGGTTTCCAGATCCTGTACCAGAGAGTGACTGTGGTTCCGCCCTGCTCTCTGACACAATTAAGGATAAAATCTCTGAGGCAATGACTGGAAGATGATACCTCGAATACTGAACAGGGGTTCCCTTTGACACCGGCAGCAGCCTTGGGCCCCGTGACTTTTCCTCTCAGGCCCTGTTCTCTGCTTCACACTCAGTGTGTGTGGCGGTCTGAGTCCAGCTCCTCTGAGTCCCTCAGCCTCCACTCAGGTCAGGACCAGAAGTCACTGTTCCCTCCTCAGGGAATAGAATTTTCCACGGAATAGGTGATTATCCCAGGTGCCTGTGTCCAGGATGGTGTCTGGGTTCTGTGCTCCCTTCCCCACCCCTGGTGTCCTGTCCATTCTCAAGATGGCCACATGCGTGCTGGTGGAGTGTCCCATGACAGATGCAAAATGCCTGAATTTTCTGACTCTTCCCATCAGACCCCCCCAAGACACATGTGACCCACCACCCCGTCTCTGACCATGAGGCCACCCTGAGGTGCTGGGCCCTGGGCTTCTACCCTGCGGAGATCACACTGACCTGGCAGCGGGATGGGGAGGACCAAACTCAGGACACGGAGCTCGTGGAGACCAGGCCTACAGGGGATGGAACCTTCCAGAAGTGGGCAGCTGTGGTGGTGCCTTCTGGAAAGGAGCAGAGATACACCTGTCATGTGCAGCATGAGGGTCTGCGTGAGCCCCTCACCCTGAGATGGGGTAAAGAGGGAGATGGGGGTGTCATGTCTTTTAGGGAAAGTCGGAGCCTCTCTGGAGACCTTTAGCAGGGTCAGGACCCCTCACCTTCCCCTCTTTTCCCAGAGCCATCTTCCCAGTCCACCATCCCCATCGTGGGCATCATTGCTGGCGTGGTTCTCCTTGGAATTGTGGTCACTGGAGCTGTGATTGCTGCTGTGATATGGAGGAGGAAGAGCTCAGGTGAGGAAGGGGTGAGGAGTGGGGTCTGAGATTTCTTGTCTTACTGAGAGTTTCAAGCCCCAGGTAGAAGTGTACCCTGCCTGGTTACTGGGAAGCACCATCCACACTCATGGGCCGACCCAGCCTGGGCCCTGTGTGCCAGCACCTACTCTTTTGTATAGCACCTGTTACAATGAAGGACAGATAGATCACCTGGATTACGGTGGTGATGGGACCTGATCCCAGCAGTCACAAGACACAAGGGAAGGTCCCTGCTGAGGACAGACCTCAGGAGAGCAGTTGGTCCAGGACCCACACCTGCTTTCTTCATGTTTCCTGATCCCGCCCTGGGTCTGCAATCACACATTTCTGGAAACTTCTCTGGGGTCCAAGACTAGGAGATTCCTC